GTGTTGCCAAAATGTCCTTTTCGTAACAAAAGAAAAAGGTCGACCCGTATTGACTTTACACACCGGACTTTTGCTGAAAAGTGGGGGGGGGGGGGGGGGGGGTGCTGAAAAAGGCTCGTATACAAAAGAAAAAGGTCGAGCCGTATTGACTTTACAAACCGGACCGGGGGGTCGGTTGGAACACGCATATGCGTACCCTAAATAACACTGAGTGGGGGGGGGGGGGGGGGGCTCTACGTTCACCTAACCTCACTGAACGTTCGCCACATATTCTCTCTATTCATAATTCAATTCAATTTCAATGTATTCAGCCAATCATTAAAAACAATTTATGACACTGCCTTGTACTGGAACAATAATTATAATATGATGACAGGCTATGAACCCCTGAGAAGCAGAGCTTGTAAATGGGGCCCATTAACATAGAATTAAATACATACTGTATAATAAAAATATGCTATAACAAGCAAAACAAAAAAGAGATACATGTATATTCATACGTATTACAAAACAATTACAAATATCTTGCAAACACACTCAGCCATACTCACTCACACACACACACACACACACGCACGCGCACGCACACACACACACACACACGCGCAATGCAATGTAGTTTAAAACATATAATAAGAGAGAGAGAAAAGAAGAAGAGAGTAGCATATTTAAAAATAAAAAGGAAGAAGAGGAAACACATGAAAAATGCGAAATGTGAGATTAAAACTTTTAATATAGTCCTACCCAGTTTTACAAATTGATAAATAGTTCCCCTTTGCACAAAACTTTAAACTTAGACAAAGTTTAACTTGATCTTATATCCTCGTTTAAATCATTCCATTTGCTTATTATTCCCACATTTCTAAATGATTTCAGTGCATGGGTTGTACGTACAGGGGGTTTGTGTAATAACATTTTTTGCCTTGTGTTATGTGAATGAACGGATGAATTTCTAATAAACATGTTTTGAAAAATGTGTGGAAGATTACCAGTGTGGAAATAAAACATAAATATACAAGTATTAAGTGATATTAGTTCTTGGACAGGAAGAACCTTCATTCTGCTAAATAATAGTTTCGTATGAGAATTATACATTGAATATGTTAAAATTCGAATTGCCCTCTTTTGAAGTATTTCCATTTTATTTAGACGAGATGAATATGAATTTCCCCACACTATATTGCAGTAAGATAAATGGGGTAATACTATCGAGTTGTAAAATAACATTAGAACATTTTGGGGAACGGTAAATTTTAATTTTGATGATACTCCAATGCTTCTAGATACTTTCAAAGTTACATTTTTAATGTGTTCTTCCAGTCCAGGAATTCGCCTATAGTAACACCAAGAAAGGATAGTGAATGTACACGTTGTAGGACTACGTTGTTAACAGAAATGTCATTAATGTCTCCGGAAACTCTCCTGTTCTTTGAACGAAATATGATGTCTTTTTTTTTTTTATTAAAGCTCCCATCACACCAAACTTGTTCTCATCTCATTTATTAGAGAGGCACATCCCTGTATTTTACATTAGGTAAGTATATGACCCCACCCCAGGCATTTCCCTCATCACAAATAGTATATACATATTAGGGACATCACATTGATATTTCTATAGAACATTTTAACACTAAACAACCAGAAACCTTTCCTTTTGTTAATCTTACAAACTCAACAAAGAGAGATTTTTTGTGGGGGTGGGGGTTGAGGGCTGCTTTAGATTGTACAAGAAAGACACATTTCTGTATACATATACATACACAATACACATTATAATAAAACTTTTGGCACACCTAAAACTGTAACCTGAACTGAAAATCTTTCAGCGAATCTTGGCAGAGATTTAATAAATGTGCTTGTGGGGGGGGGGGGGGGCAGAAACTCAACTATATTGTTGTACACACGCGCGATAAAGAAAAACGAGTAAAAAGGATATACCGGTAGCTTTTGTTGGTTAAGGTAATCAATGCGCATGATGCGTTTAGGTTGCCAAAAACGCCAAAGATTGGGTATGTTTCTGGAGTTAAGTAGGCAAAAAAATCAGTTAAAGTTACGTTTCAAGAGTATGTTAAACTCACGTTTCATAAAATCTCCCAAATAAAAAAAATAAAAACATTTGTTGCATGCTCAGCCCCCCCCCCCACACTTTCAAAAACGCTCTGCGTCCCCTGCGTTTCGGGTATATTTTTCCACCATATTGGTCTAGATTTTTTGCGACCTATAATTGACCTCATTAGGTATATGTTTTTATAGGGGTACATTTCATAGGGGGTAAAATGTAAAGCGAAACAAGTGGAAATTGGTGAATAGGGTATAAATTGAACAAGAATATAATGCATTTAGGGGTGGTTGAAACCTGTGGTCGCGCGTATGTACAACAATATAGTTAAGTGCCCCCCTCAACCCATAGAAGACAAAAAACGGTTTGAAGTTAAATTAAGTTGTCCAATTTTATTGCCAGAACGAGCCACTTTGATGTCTACATGAGTCAAGTTTGAAATTAATACGTCGAATGGTTTGCAAGAATGAAAATGGGATGGACCGGCAGCTAGGGGCGTTATACCTTTTTAAGTGGGGGGGGGGGGTTGTAGAGGCCATCAATTACCGACAAATATAATATGTCAATGTGCCAATGTCTACAATTTTTTTCTGTCTTTATTTTCTTTATTTTCCTTTCTATTCTTATCTTTTCTTTTCCTTTTTGCCTCCCCTGTTGCCTCTCTTTCTTTTTTCTTTTTCTTTCTTCTCTTCTCTTTCCTTTCTTTTCCTTTTTTCCCCTTTTCTTTCCCATCCCTTCTCATTTTCCCCGACGGCAGCGCAATATCGACAATAATATCCTGATAGGTGTGTGTGTGTGGGGGGGTGGTGGTCGCACCCCACATCCCCCTTCGGAGACCCCCCCCCCCCTTCCGCGGCGGGCAGCTACCCTGAATACAAGTATGTAGAAAAAGAAGAATACACAACATGCATTTATACTGCATGGCCACACAGAGGAATTTTTCCTGTAGGGGGCCGGGGGAAAATGCAATGAATTTTTGACAAGTTATTGCATTTTCGTCGTTTTGGGGGATTTGTGGAAGAGGCCGCGTACCCTAGCAAACACTGCGTACAGTCATGATTCAGGGGGTAAGCAATGGCCTCGTTACTGTGAGGCCCCAGGATAAAAATCGTGCTGATCAGCTATATTAGTGCCCTTTTGTGAGGCATTAATCCTCATTACTGTCAATTATGATTTAAGGACGTAGGTTCCCTAGCTGATTAGCATAGTAGCACACATATGATATAGCAGTCACGCAAAACAAACACTCGCAATTTAATATTCAATAAAATCTGAGAATGTATGCCATTATCTAGATCTATTAGAAATAAATAATTTTTAAAAATCCTTCCCTAAACTGGGGTAAAAATAAATATTCCACCATTATGACCAACAGTGTAATTCAAAACATTTTAATGCAAACAAGGTCATGCTGGATAAAGAGAATTATGTGGTGAATGTAGAGTGATGTAGGCATATATAATGAAAACAGGAATGTTTCATTTATTAGATATTAAGGTTCTGAGATTTGGCACAATAATTATATTCCTATAGTTCTATTAATCCGGCCAATTAAGAATTAAAAACAATTAAATGCCAACAAAGTCATGTTGAACGGTAGATAGAATGATGTGGCGAACTTACAATGAGGTGAGGCGAACGTAGAGTAAGGTATGTAGGTCCTACGTGAATTAAAACATTTATGTTTCATTTTTCTCTTCTGTATTCATGTTTTAACATAAGATTTTGCACAATAATTATATTCCTATAGGCCTATTAATTGGGAACTATAGAATTCAAAACAATTCAATCCAAACAAAATCATGTTGGATTACCTGATGTAGAGAGAATTATGTGGCGAACGTACAGTGAGGTACCAGGCCTATAAGAAATTAAAACATTTATGTTTCACTTCTCTTAATGATTTCTTTACAGGTGCTAACATGAGATTTGGCACAATAATTATATTCCTATAGGCTAATTAATCTGGACTATATAATTAAAAAAAAATTCAATGCAAACTAAATCATGTTGGCATGTGAGAGAATTATGTGGCGAACGTACAGTGAGGTGAGGCAAACGTAGAATGAGGTATCATAATTATACTGAATTAAAACAACGTTATTTATCTTAATGAAGCATTTTATTTAGCAAGAGTGAACGTAAAATTATTGCGCGCAACACGAATTTAATGAAAATAATAGGGCCTTCTTTAGAATATAGAATTTAAAACAATTGAATTATGCAAACAATCCTGTTGGATTTACTATGTGGCGAACGTACAGTGAGGTGAGGCGAACGTAGAGTGAGATGAGTGTGTGTGACCATCAGGGGGGCGTTTCATCAAACATTTAGTCGGTGGATTTCACCGACTAATTTCAATAAATTTGTCGGTTGCCTTGGACCTCCCGACAAAGTCAATTTACACCGACGAACAACAAGCAAAAAGGCACCAAAAGGGCAAAATGGCAGCAATCATGAATATCCTAGGGGGTGCTGCCCTCGGTAGAATCTAGAGTTGATGCAGCTATGTTACAAAAATACAGATTTACTAGGGAAGGAGTGTTATACATGATAAATGAGTTAGAGCATGCCAAAAAGAGGAGCAAGGATCTATCTGCCCATCTGCAAGTCTTTGTGGCTTTGAGATTATTTTTTGCGACAATAGAAGGGTGAAGCAAGTCATGTGCGGAAAGAAAAACCAAGTAAGTATTGCCTTTTTTTTTCCTGAAATGAACTGACTTGAGCTTGAAGTCCTATGAAAAGTAGACCCAATACCATCGCAATGTACAAATTGTTTGTTTGATTTTTTTTTTTTAAATTGGGACCTAAAATTTTATTCCACTCTTTCATTCATTTTAATCTAGATAACAAAGGTGAATGAATGGGGTCTAACGATAAGACTAAGCGTGTAGATACAGACTCCACATTCACCCAACTTTATTACCTTTTTTTGTTGTTGTTGGTAGAGACAACGAAATAAAAATAAACACACAACAAACAGCTGAAATTAATGTTGAAGGGCCTTCTCAATTGAACGGAATATTAATAAAATAAAATCAGAATGACATTCGTTGTGTCAATTTTCCATCAATTTTCAAAGAACAGACTACTTAATCTAGATCAATAGATCTATATCTTGAGATCTACTTAAACTACTGAGAGGAAAAAAACCCTCAAAGGTTGAAAAATGCAGTTAAAAATGATGAAGAAAATTTACAGTTCATTGTTTAGTATTGATTAATTTGATTTTTGTATCTTATCATTACTTGCAACTTTTCCTTTTAAACCTCAATTTTAATATTCCAAATATCTCCCTCTCAATCTCCAACAGCTCCAGCTGTCCACCAACTGTGCATTTTCTTTGTTGTCCTTGTTGTCGATGTTGCTGCTGCCATCTTTGTTGTTGTCCAGGTTGCTGCTGCTGGTGCTGCGCTGATGCTTTTGCTGCTGCTGTTGATGTTGTTGTTGCTGCTGTTGCTGCTGTTGTTGCTGCTGTTGTTGTTGCCGCTGCTCCTGCTATTGTTGGTTGTTGCTGCTGAGTCTCTGGAAAATGTTGGTTCTCTTGATGCTGTTGTGATTCAATCAACTGCAATTGAAATTCATATTTATAATGCTATTATCATCTTATGAAAAACATTAATATATTAAATAATTGTTATTGTTTGTGGATTGTAATATTAGTGGTGTTAGTGGTATAAGTACTGCTATTATCACTTCCTCTATCATTGTCATTGTTAATCATTGATTTTATATTACTTGCCTTTTTCTGGATCTCCTTATATATTCATTAAAAGAATACATTCCAATCAATTAAGACTAAGTGATTGTGTCTTTCTGCAAATCTTCCAGAGTTCCTTACTTGAAAACTGAAATAAAATGAACAAGTCAGGTAACTACATATACCCTTTTCTAACTGCACTGATTTTCATCGGATGCATCCGGACACATCCGATGAAACGGCCAGTTAGAAAGCAAGAGAGGAGAAAAAGGCGATTAAATAGCCGATGAAAAGAAGAGAAATAGGCGATTAAATTCCCCTGCTCAAGAGCAGGAGAAATTCTCATTCTATCGGTGTGACACCGATGAAACGGCCAGTTAGAAAGTGTTTGGGAGAAAAGGGTGATTAAAACAGCGATTAAAATGGTCAAAGGTCGCAGTATACACGCGCTTTATCGTAACCAGCTGTGTTTGTGGTTCATGGTTGAACATGCTGCATGCTAGCTAGATGGAGCGCGGGCTTAATAATTACTCAATAATTCTTCACTTTCGGCAAGGGCTGGCCACAGCGAGTAAATTTCACCGGCAGTTAGAAAGCGACAGGGGGAAAACTGCGGTTTCACCTTTGTTTACATAAGGAAAATTCAATCGGTATTTTCATCTGTGTGACTCCGATAGAAGCCAGTTAGAAAACCCCCCAAAATGCTCATCCCATATAGGCACATCTATTCTTACGAACAGTGAAATGCAAATATGATACTTTGACTTATGTGATTATTTCATCATGACTTGGGCATGTAGAATGTAGAATGTATTAATGTCAAAGAATCTCATTTGCAGAAAAGCATTACATTTGTTTAGTGATGAAGTAAATTGAGCAGTATATATGCATCGTAAATTTCCGAAATACCAGTGTTGAAAAAACAAACTTGTTTTAACTTAAATATTTCTTTGATAGATATCTAGCTGTTAAAAATATAAAAAAGCAGTGAGGAATTCTCAATACTTGGTGTCCAATTTCTATTATAACTATTTTTAGCACTTGACATGTCATTTAATTTGATGGTATAGTGATCCAATATATTTTTATAATCAAATATATATTTATAATTTATATATTTATCTCTAATTGTGTGTTTTTAATGTGGACCCATCACAGAACTTTCAGATTTATATATATATATATATATATTAATATATATATATATATATATATATATATATATTTATATATATATATATATATATATGCTTTATTTACGTCATAGCAAGGTTGTTGTGTTGGCTGTCCAAAGGAAACAACTGAATGATGCATTCTTGAACGATAACAATATCAATCGTTTCACGTCAATAAATAAATGTATCTGTTTCTTTCCCCGTTGTAAACATTGTAATATTCACTATGAATTACCAGTCGATTGTGCTTTGCTCCTATATTGTTAAGCACAAGACTCCACCGCTATGAGTCAAGGGGCAGAACATCAAGACTGGAACCTCAAGGCACCCCATCTCTCCACAGGAAACCCTCCTTCTCAATCCCTGGAACAGCTTTATAAACATTTCAATAAATATTAACCAAATATGTAAGAAAATACAAATAAAATAGAGTTTAGTTGTCTTCAATAGTTACTTTTCAGCAAAATTTGAAAGTCAATTATTTTTTTCTTTTTGCTCGCCATTCCGTTTCATGTACTGGACCCCCCCCCCCCTTCTACGAAATCTTCAAATGTTAATTCTAAAAAGTGATATATATCTAGCCTAAGGATATTTTGAAACTGCATAGCCCGAGGGGGACTTTGAAGGCCCTCTCCCCCTATGATCTCGGCCGTTGAACGGCCAATCACTGCCAAAATTTGCATGCATGTTAAGTGAAGTGTAGACTATGGTAATTTGAATTTTGGAAAAAAAGGAAGAGCCAAGTTATCCCTAATGTTATCTATTCTATTAATTTGATAACTTCAGTGTATTTCTTTGTTTTTTTAACTTATGTATTTTATTGTTTTATTTCAATTCTAACTATAATTCAAATATTTGAACCAGGCGCGCCAGAAGCAATTTGGGATTCGGGAGGCAAACATTCCAGGGGGCTCACCTTCCAAGGGCAGTGACGTAATGAGAAAAAACGTTCGGAAGGGGGGGGGGGAGACGAAAAATCTGCATCACCACCAGTCTTACACGTTACATGCAGGTCCCGCGGAACGTTTTTCAAAGTCGAGTATTAACGATCAGGTACAGCGTAAATTGGCGTGGGGTCCAGGGCATATGAGCCTCGGCAGGGGGTCAAGGGGCTGAGCCCCCGGAAGCTCAGGGATTTTAAGTATTTAATTACGGTTAGATGAGCATCCAGGGGCCTCTTTCAGGCCATTGACGTGTTCCAGAGGGGGGGGGGGGCCCCAGAAGTTAAGAGGTTTTATCATTTATTACGGTCAGATGAGCATCCAGGGAACGCCCTTGGGCCCTTGGTGGGGTCCAGAAGGGCAGGGCCCCCGGAAGCTCAGGGTTTTTAGGTATTTAATTATGGTCAGATGAGCATCTAGGGGCCCGCCTTAGAGCCCTTGGTGGGGTCCAGGGGGCAGGGCCCCCGGAAGCTCAGGGTTTTTAGGTATTTAATTACGGTCAGATGAGCATCCAGGGGCCCGCCTTAGGGCCCTTGGTGGGGTCCAGGGGGCATAACTCTTTGAAGCTAAGGGTTTTTAGGTATTTAATTACGGTCAGATGAGCATTTTTTATATCTTATTTGTGACATTGGCAGGTCACTTATTTTTTCTCTCCGTCTTTCTTTCTTTTTCTCTTTTACATACTTTTTCAAAAAGTGAGGGGGGAGGGGGGCTCGAGCCCAGCCACTTTGCAGACCATGACATAAAGGCTTCTAAATAAGCGTATTTTTCGCCCGACTGTAATTTGGGAATTTCTTATTTTCCGACAAACGCATAAAAAGGTACGACTTACAAAAAAATGGAGAAAAAATACCGGAAAATCATGTCATAACAGCAACATTTGTAAATCACTGGTATCGTATAGATATCCCTCCCCCCTCCCCATCAGTACGCCAGCGTTCAGGGGCTCATGTCTTCTCACCCCTATAACAAAACAAAAAAACAGACACGCTTTCCCATTCTCGCACAATATGTCCACGATATGCGCGTATCGCTATTATAAACCGTATAGGTAGCATGCGCAATGTTTATGAAATTTAATTCCTGTGAACTTTCCTTCTCTTTGAATGGAATGGTATATGTGATTTAATTAAGGTTTTTATTTTTGTTATGTTCTTTTGGATTAAAAATACAAACCATGTTTATTCCTTTACTGCTTTTTTTTTTTGAGGGGAGGGGGGGGGGGGGCGTTTTTTTTTTTTTTGGGGGGGGGGGGGGCAAAAATGCGTTTTGCACCCCACTTTTTTTACCCTGCCCCCCACCCACTTCCGGCGCCTATGTTTGAACCCCTCCCCCCAAAAAATAAAATAAACACCTTAACTATGAACCTATAAACAAGACCAAATAACCAATAATTTATCCTATTTTGGAAAAAAATGAGATTTCCATGTTTTGAACATAAATTATGAAAATGAGTGATTTTCAAGCTGATATGCAAAGACAAAAGGTCACGTGACTTTGCATAAGCTTATTTGTTTTTGACCCGCCGTTTGAAGATTCCCCCCCCCCCCCCCTCCCGTCGTCGCCATTTTAGACAATCCAAAATTGTTAAGCCTTCCTTTTTTTATGGAGGGGGGGGGGTAGGGTGATTACCTGGAAACACAGTATATTTTTTGCCTTTTGGGTCTAAATTATATACCCAATAGGCAATAAAATCATGCGAGCGCATAGCGCGAGCTGATTTTTTTTCTTTTCTCTCTCGATAAAGTGACCTGAAATCGCTGCTTTCTAAACCCTTATTTTAAATGAATCCCCTGAAATAATCATTCTAACATAGGTTAAATAGATTAAACAAATAGGGCGTCGGAGGTTCTCGGATGCTAATCACGTTCGGAATTCCATATGCAGTTAAACCATGCGAGCGCAAAGCGCGAGCCGAATTTTTTGGATATAATGACTTGATAATGTAGAGTGGCCTGAGCGGGAAGGGCGTGGTTCTAAACTTACAGACAGGGGCGTCGCTAGACCTTTTTCAGTGGGGGGGGGGGAGGGGGGGAGGGGGGCGTGTAGAGGCCAACGATTACCGACAAAACTAGCCACCAAATACCGACAAAATTAAATGTCCTAATATCTACAAATTTAACCCTATAAACCCGGGGCCGAAGACTATATTGTTTTTCCTATGAACTATCTATAATACTTGCATATGCGCAAATGGTCATTTTCCTCGACGACATAAATATACGATTTATTTCGTCAACTAGTCAAAGTCAGCATCATAGCTATATATTTTAATGCAGGCGTTTAGCTAGGATCTTATTTTAGGGAGGGACGGTAGTGAGCAAGCGAATCACTTAAAGGGGGTGGGTGAATTAAGGCCTCACGCGAAGCACGAAAGCTTAGACGTTCCTTAAATTATTAGAGTAAGAAGACGATTCGTTGAATATACCGTTCTCGACTCTTAATAAGCCCTAATTTATTGTCTGAATTCTGTTTCCCCCTTCCGAGCGAAGCGCGGAAGCCTTGACGTTTCTTTAGAATATTAGAGTAAGAAAACGATTCGTTGTGACGTTCTTGACTCTTAATCCTTGTCTGAATTCAGTCCCCTCCCACGCGAAAGCTTAGATGTTCCTTTAATAATTATTAGACAAATTAGAGTAAGAAAACGATTCGTTGTACCGTTCTAGACTCTTAAGCCTTGTCTGAAAGAAATTTCCAGCTTTTAATACACAGCCAGGATTTAGTAATGCACCTAGACTAGATCTATGTGTGACCAAAACCAAAACCAAAGTCAAAAAGACAAAAGAGAAAATTGAAAAATCGTTCAGAATCAGACACCCCCCCCCCCTAAAAAGTGCCTACCTGATTAATAATTGTATACACCTAAAAGTTAAATAGCATTAATTATGTTTCCAATAGTATGCCGGGAACGGGTAAACAACCCCTGGTTTTGAATTCTTGCATTATATTAAAGTGTTCATTTCGATAAGAACGTTGGAAATGAATTCCTGCATCAAGATGTACAGGTGTTCATTTCCAATAACACGTTAGACAATAGACTGTTTTTTTTCCGGGGACGCGACATTCTCGCCAAGAGACAGACTCCTCCCATTTTTGTCGGTGACTAGTTTAGACCACTCTAAGAGTTATGCTTTGTTTGTTTGTTTGATTGATTTTATTTCTGCGTTCAAAAATATACAAATTCAAAGTCAAAGTACAAAATTTCGAACAATAACAAATACAATTAATACAATGTTTACAAAAGTAATTAAATGAAAAATCATGTACAATTATATCATTCGATAAACATGTACGAAGCATACAATAACATAAGAAATATGAAATATTTTCAATAAATTAGAGAGGTAATTCGGAACGAAGGAGACAATCATCGTGAGCGGTTAGGCTTGGAGATGGATGGCGGCCTCGTAAAAAGAATTGGCGACATAACTCTCTTCGAAAAACTGAGTGATCAAGAGGGTGCGGTGCAAGTGCAGGTGTAGTGAGCAGTTGCATAATAAAGAATAAATAAGTCACGGTTTTGTTATACTAATTTAGAGAGGGGAGCATATGATTGTATTAGTTGTCGTTTAAGTGTAGCTTTTAAGGAGTAGATGGTTGAACAAGACTTTATGTTGTCGGGTAAATCATTCCAAATGTCCGGGCCAGAATGTCTAACAGATTTGTGTGTTATTGATAATTTGGGGTTTGTAAGATGGAAGTTTCCAGATATGCGAGTAGAGTATGAATGAACGGAATTATTAAACCTAAACATGTTTTCAAAGGATGGTGGAAGCAGATTATTAATGTACTTAAACATAATAACTGCTACTTGAGTAGTGTTCAGATCGAAATTTTTTAGTGTTTTAAGTTTATAGAATAAAGGATCAGTGTGAGCTAAGAAATGCGAACCTGTACAAATACGTATGGCTTTCTTTTGCAGTTTGAAAATAGAATTGATTTTTGTCGAACCACAATTTGCCCATACACTATTACAATATGTTATATACGGGAGAACTAGCGAATTATATAGTAGGAATAAGGTTGCATGGGGTAGAAGAAACTTTAACTTGGAGATTATTCCAATACTTTTGGAAATGCACATTGTAACTTGGTGTAAATGATCATTCCAAGTCAAGGTTTCATCTATAAGAACACCCAAAAACTTGGAATTAGTTTTTTGCTCTAGTAGCATACCATCGATTTTAATATATATAGGTGTTTCTGTATTATGAGAATGATGTTTAAAATACATGAAATGAGTCTTTTTTGTATTAAGTGAAAGTTTATTGGATTTAAACCAATCTGATACTTTGTTAATTTCATAATTCAAAGTATTGTTTAACGAATTAAGGTCTTTATGGGAATAAAAGATATTTGTATCATCGGCAAATAAGATAAAAGAAAGAAGGGGGATGTATTGATAATATCATTTACATAAAGAAGAAATAACAGTGGACCTAAGATGGAGCCTTGAGGAACACCGCATTGAATTAAAAGAGGATCAGAATCATAACTATTAAATGTAACATATTGTCTTCTGTTTGTTAAATAATCTTTAAACCATAAGAGTGGCTGACCCCGAATTCCGTAATGACTGAGTTTGGAGAGTAGAATAGCGTGATTGAGCGTATCAAATGCTTTACTCAAGTCACAGAATATACCTATAACATGCTTTTTGTTAGCTATGGCACTTGTAATTTTGTCATAAATTTGAATTAATGCTAAGTCAGTTGAGTAATTTTTTCTGAAGCCATATTGATTTGAATTGAGTATTTTGTGTTTAGTGATAAATTTGTGTAGCCTATTATGAACGATCTTTTCTAAGACTTTGGATATACTTGGGAGTAGGGAAATTGGACGATAGTTACTAATTTCGTGAGGATCATCTTTTTTGAAAATGGGGTTGAC